TATCTATCTATCTATCTATCTATCTATCTATCTATCTATCTATCTATAGCAGAACGTGCTTTTCAGCCATTTTTCTTTCTTTATTAATTTTTTACCTTTGTTTACATTTGTACATACTTTCTGTGTTTGTAATGTTGTGATGGTATAGATTTCAATCTATCCATCCGTCCAGGATCACAGTGTCCTGCACCCTTGTTTTCATAGCTTTAAAAGAGAAATAAAGCAGAGTAAATCTCAGTCAGTGGTTTTAACTTTTGACTATAACACCAGTTATAAATTTGTACACCAAACTTGATATTTGCCTTGAGAGGAAGGACATACCTTATAATAAAAACTAACATATTTTCTATTTTACTTGAAAGTTCCAAATAAAGCATAACAATCCAAAACAGCAGTTAAATAAATAACTATATTTCTCAGAGCAACTGAAAAACACTTTGGGGTTGGCTGAAGTAGACAGCAGACTATTTAGGTTGTTTTTATTACATGTTACCGGGACTCTCAAAAGGGCAGATAAGCTCTAACATTAACTGCTGGGGTAATTTGGAGCATCCACGTCACGTAACATGCATGTTTTTGACCCCGTAGACACAGGAAGAACATTCAAGCTCCACATGTCCTCCTGCGTCCAGTTGGAAGGGATACAATCAGTTCAACTTGCCTTAACTTCTGAAATGTAAAACTTAAGCCTCTCTCAAGTCTGAGGTCTACTTCCATATCCTCCCATTTCTTTTTCTTCACCAACAAGAACAGACTAGGCATGTCCAGACCAAATAAGACAAGACAAGACGACATAGGATAACATAATAGATCAATCTTTCCACATGGGTATATATACATATAAATCCAACGATATGTATAATACATTTATAATTCAAGGTCTGATATATCTAATAATAGATATATTCACACGATAAATTCTTTATAAGGCCAACAGGCAAAAGCACTCCATGTGACGCTCCCGTTTTTAGTGATAGGAAAAACAGGCAGAGTGAGACCTCATTTTTCCTGAATCCCCTGATAGCCTCCATTCGTTTTTCTGGATGTATATTTTCGCCGCGCATGCGCAGAAGGAGCAATCATGGATCGCACGTTTGGCAATTAAATTGCCCCATTAAGTTAATTACATTGTATCCATACATTTCGTGTTCCCCGTGTCAACAAACGCCAGTACGGCGCGTGGGGCGCGCGCGGGGGGCTGAACAGCTTCTTTTCTAACCCAAAAAACAGTGTGTGCACGCGCCTGGTCCAATCAGAGCCAGGGATCAGGGTTGAGAGAGTTCATGGAGTCTGCTGTTTTTGGTCGGTACGACATCTGATTTCGGCACTAATTTAATCCAGACCTCCATAAAACACCGGGCTGCAAGGGGGAAAAGGCCAATAATCCCAAAACGTTCTTAAAAATGTCCCTCTTACATAACAGAATAGATCCTATACATGTACAGATGTGTGTGTTTGTGTGTGTGTGTGTGCGCCACAGGGGGTCTTTACTGTTCATCTAAAGTAAGATCAAACCATAAAAGTAAGCATGTACTTTTTAATAATTATTTTTCTTCTTTTTTTTTTTCATCGGTTACACAAAAAGTGGCCAAGAACACGTGGTCACGTGGTCAATATGGCGGATCAGGTGCGTTCAAATTCCTAGAAACGTGCAGATCGGATTCATGATGTGGGTCAACGGAGAAGGGAGGAGCCCCCCCCCCCCCCTCAATTCCCCTGCAACCTCAGGACAAATTAAAAGAAAAAAGGGGGGAGGGAAGGGGACATTCCCCCCAGTAACGTCGTTGGTGACCATTGTTTTTGTAAAAAATGCGCAAAAATGGATTAAAAACGTCCATGCATGTGCACATTTTCCAACGATTTTAGACAAATGCAGCCTTATGCAAATAAGAAAAAGTCTAAAAAAATGCAACGTTTTCATAAAATCACAGCACGGGAGATCTGAGCAGGCAATTGCAACAAAAAGTGGATTTTAAAAAGGGACATTTTTCATGCGCAAAACAACAAAGTGGAAGCACCAGATGGGTTTCCAAGTGAGGAGCTGTTATGTGACTATTGTTTCCCTGGAGAGGGAGTGGCCACTGCTGCCATGTGCACACCTAGGAATTAATTCTGTTCTTCATCCGGGTGTTTGTTAAGGATGTGAGAACTGAGGCCACCTAAGTATGTATTAAACCTCAAGTAGCTTTTTTTTTTTAAGCTCACTTTGCAGTCAGGAACACTGAACGTGATATAAATCCAGAGAAATTGAGATCTGTAGTTCAGTATCACTTGTTTAATCTTTAACTTTTCTGTAGGAGCCAACTAACACATCCAAGTCGGCCATTTTAATTTGGTCATGTGACTAGCAGCTTTCTGAGGTGGGAACGAAACTTTAATGTCTATACGAAATCGGAAGACAAAGTATTTCCTAACCCTAACCCTGAAACTAACCCTAACCCTAAAATCCTAACCCTGACCCCAACCCCAACCCCAACCCTAACCCTATCCCCTAACCCTAACCCTATCCCTAACCCTAACCTTAACCCTAAAATCCTAAGCCTGACCCTAACCCTGACCCTTAACCTAACCCTTAATCTAACCCTAACCCTAACCCTGACCCTCCACCCTTCATAATTGTGAGAAATAAATATTTTTTGGTTAAACTTGTTTGGACTTATTGTACAAACCTATTTAATATACACTATTTTAACATAATATTATGTATAGAGTTTAATTCAGTGTTTGCAAGATTAATCTCACTATTTTTAAATGAATGTCTATATTGCCATGAAGCAATTACGATTTTCTTGCCTGGGATCTTCCTATTGGTGACCTAATCAAAATGGCCGACTTGAATGAGTTGGATATCCATCCTTGACAGTTACATTCGGTTTTATAAATTTGGTTTCAGGGATGCAGGTGTTCAAGCTGATTCGTTCACAGTTCAAGACACACCTGAAGACAAAGAAAAGCACCAGTTAATGGGCGAAAAAAGGATAAAATGAGGGAGGAGAGGTGCATCATGGGAGCTCACGGGCAGCAGGACTATGGGATGTTTCAGGGTTGCTGAGTCATCTTTAATCATCAGCTTTATCCAAAAGGAAAGTTTAAAGCCTAATCTTAAGAGGGAGAAACTGGATCTACTTTCCTGATGTGTAACTTTTACTCCACGTTATTCTCGTCTGGTTTGGATTTCTTTAGCTGGGACAAGAGCTCATCGCTTAAGGGCTGTAATATCATTTCCCCGGAGGGATAAATATTGTATCGTGAAATTGAATTGAGCCGTCTTTACAAGGGGGACGGCGCCATGGTGATCGCTGGGCCGGATCTAATCGGAATATTTATCATTTTTCAGGGTTCAAAAAGGGAAAAAAGGGAAGGACGAAGAGCAAATGAGGCTTGAAAGACAGAAACTCAGACATTAGCATCGGGTTATCGATCAGTTTCCCAGTGACAGGTGGGGGAACACACCCTTCCTTCTGCTGGTTTTAAGATTAAACTGGTTATCCTGCAAAGGTGTCTGACCTGTTAAAAGATTTAAAATATCAAATGTGAATAAGAAGTACCAATAATTTCCAAAAATGACTGTTTACCATTTCTTCACACCTGAATTCTGGAGACTGAACTCTTAATAAAATTCCTTGAATTTCCCCTTGAGGATCAATAAAGTACCTATCCATCTATCTATCTATCTATCTATCTATCTATCTATCTATCTATCTATC